TCTCCTTCCACGAGGACTAAACTTTACCTCCTTAAGGCCCATAGCCTTTATGCAATCGACTTTCAGGCCACGACCCTGAAATAAGAAATGATCGGACATGGGGTGGTACAAGGCATAAACAAATGAGTCAGTACTCGAAACCAATGAAAGAGCTATGGTTTGGTACCAACGACTGTTTTATTATTTAGGAGATAAAAAAGGGGAAGATGTAGAGCATAATGAAGGCACCTTTGACGACTTTGAGAGAATGTCGTCGAAGATGGAGGGCGGTAACTGTTGGTTGTGGTCAATAATAAGGTTTTAACCTAGAGCTCTAATACTATGTAAGATAATAGATTAATTGATTAATAGTGAGAGTTAAACCTTATTTAAATATTGATACATAAAAGGCCCTCGGCCTAACCTAAACCCTAAGGGGATTAGGCCTAAACCCTAAATGTTAACATACTAACATGGAGCACTAACAATAATTTGTGTATTAAATATCTGAACCATAACCCTAATAAATGGAATTTAATAACTCAAACCACAAACTTATAACTCAAGGATGTGGTTATTAGACTAAATGGAGTATGTGCGGTAAAAACTGCACTTTTGCCACGATGATGCCAAGGAACACCGCCTGTACCGTGCGGTTTGGGATGCGCTTTGGCCGCACGCGGTAATATCTAGCCGCACTCTTCCTTCTTCAATTGCCTCTCTCTCTCTCTCTCTCTCCCCCTTTATTTTCTTATTTTTTGGTACACCACATCTAGTGTGTGGCAAAGAACCACACTCTTGTGGTAAAGTTGACTGGAGCACATGTGGTGTCTACGTGGCATATGAGGGAGTGTAGTTTCTGTGACACCACTCTCTCCCACCTTAGGGTGAAAAGGGTCATGCCATAGTTCTACCATGATAAAGACTCTTCACCTCCGCTTTCTCTAAACCATCTCATTTTACCACCTTGGTTATCACATACTAGGAGTGGTGTACCAAAAATAGAAGGAAGAAGGAAGGAGAAGAGAGATGATGAATCACGATAGTTTCTAGCCGAGCTCGACAGTACCACACTTAAACTGTAGACCCGACACGGTGTTAGCTGCGGTCTGCATGGCGAGTACATGGAATACCACACCAACATCATATAGCCTTAAATGTATGTCGGTTGTTTTTCCTATTAGATCGACAAAATGGCCATGGTGTGATTTACATCTGCCACTCAAAATAACCGAAGACAAACATTGAAGGAAAAATAGGGGGTGGGGTTAGTTATTGTTATAATAATAATAAATATAAATAATAATAATAAAGTACTACGTTAAAAAGAAATCCAACACCTTGGATGTCTAGTCAATAAACCTTTAGTCGGCCAGGTCATATTTTCACATGGTTGTAACACTAAGATCAAGTTGTGAGATTATGTGTATAAAAAAATAAGTACGAAGACACTTTAAATGATTGGTTGTTATATAAAAAATAAACCCTTTGAAAAGTATTTAGCTTGTATCCTAATAAAAACAAAATTGATTGACTTTGTTATATGAATAATTACTTACCAGTGTATTATATATATATATATATATATATATATATATATATATATATATATATATATATATAAAATGTTCATTTATGTATTAATAAAAATTTACAAACAAAGTAATTTTTTAAACAAATAAACAAAAAAAAGTAGTTATGTATATATAAAGAGGAGGAGAAAGAAGTATTGTTGACCAAACACAAAGTTTTACTTTATCCAAAATTTTACAATTTTACAATTTGAGCAACATCCAATCCAACGTGCCACAATTGAAGGCAACGCAGCGTTTGTTTGAGCGTCATCACCATCATCCCCTGCCCCCATCTCTCTCCTTCCATAACTTTTTCTCAGACACGCTTTCGGACACGCCGATTTCAATACGCCACGAGATCTTGGATTAATTCACCAGATCTACAAAAAAAAATTATTTGTTTTTTCCCTTTTTATTCATTGATTCATCAATTCTTTCTGGGTGTTTTCAATCCATTCCCTATTCGTTGAAATTGATTGATCATCGTCTATATGTTTCTCCGACCAATGTGCGGAGGATTTATGTTTTAGGGTTCGGTTTTCCGATTCTAAATCTTTGGACGGATGGTGTTAATCGGGAACTATGCGGATTCAGAGACGAAACAGTGGGTGTGGGGTTAATTTTTGGAATCAACAATTAGATCGGGGTTTATTGATGGAATCCCCGCCGCCTTCGAAGTTGCTTCCAATTAATGATTCATCGTCTCCTTTCATGCAATCTTCGCTTCCTACTTCATCCGGTGTCGGTGGTTCGAGTGTCGGCGACGGCGGTTTTGGGTATATCGAGCATACCGTCACGAAATTCGATACGCTCGCTGGTGTCGCAATTAAGTATGGCGTTGAGGTAATACAATCTCCAATTGATTCGACAAATTAATCTAAAAAAATTGGTTTTATGTCTTTTCATGTCGTGACAACTTCCTTCACCTTTTTATACTAATGAGTTTCTGATGTTTAGCTCGTTATATGTTCTTTACAGAAATCTGGTACATTCCATTTTGCGATTGTCCTTAAACAGAAAACTAGTTCAAATTAATCTGTAGGAAGAATCTGGTTAAGGAACTAGAACACAAAACTGAGCAACTCTACGAATTTTCGATATATTTACTTGGATGTTGTTGCTTAATAAACGTTCATTCAAAAGTACAAAGATTTTGGTTTTTCATATTCCCTCTTGTAAAAATTGTACATTATGATCGGTTCTGAATTATTGATGCCAAATTTAATACACTGCTCAAGTACATTCTATTGCTTCCTGCCCTAAATAAGACTGTCCACAGTACAATTTATAATGAATCTAGAGAGATGTTTTAAACAGTTCTGCTTTTGAATTTAGATACAAAAAAAAAATCCAATCTTTTGTACAAAGAAATAGTTTGTTAGAAAGATCAAACTTGTTGAGATTTCGAATTATAAGGTTTTTATTGGTCTACATTGCCAGCTTACATTAAATGATTGATATAAGGACACCAAAGGGCCTTCTCAAAAACTTGGAGTCATGACAAATTTGTCTTTCAAGTCATTTCATTTTGTGAATCAAAGGGAAGTTTTATGTATTTATGTAAATGACACCAAAAGGATATTAAATGAATGGAATTGGGATATGATGTATGCTGAAATATTTCCACTTTTAGTTACATGTGAAGGATTGTACTTGTCATTTGTCAATTTGCATACATTATGATGCACATGGTGTCAAATCTACATATGCTCAACTGGTTATGTGTTGTAGATTAGTTTTATTTATCATCTTCTGTATTTTTTTAACATTGCATTGTATATTTGTATGTTAGGTGGCTGACATAAAAAAGATGAATGGCCTAACAACGGACCTACAAATGTTTGCCCGCAAGACTCTTCATATACCCCTACCCGGAAGACACCCGCCCTCTCCAATCATGTCAAATGGACAAGGGTAATTACGTCATTTCCTCTTCACTTCTCATTTTAACTTTCTAACCATCAATCTTGTCTCTAAATTACGTTTACTCACACATGACAACATATATGTGTCCAAACTCAGCTGACGATAATTACCCTGAAATCTTTTTTAATGGTTAAAACATAAAAATGAAAACTTTAGTTATTATCTTTAACATGGGTGATTTTATTTTATAGGCCAAAACACTCGGAAATGACACCACCAAGACAAAGACAAAGACATTCTGATATGTTGGATTCGATAAAATCCCTAAAATTATCATCATCTTCTTCTTCTTCTTCACCACGAAACATTTCACCATCAATGGACGCCTTACGAGACTATTACGGTCTTAAACCAACCGATCAAACCGGACCAAATTCCCACCCGCCGCTCGGACTTCACCGGAAATGTAAAAGCTTAGCTAACGGGATGTCAGAGCAGGGCGGAAACGGAAACGGAAATGGAAACGGAAACGCCATTTCTGGCACAAACGGAATCCACGATTCCGATTCTGACACATGGTACGATAGATGGATGAGAAGACGGCGATCGGAAATCGACCTCCAGAATCAAACCCCGGAAACGATGCTTAAACCCGACACCAGCAATTCCAACGGTGCGTTTGCGGCGGCAGGCGGCAAAGGCCTGGCGCTCCGGCCAAAGGCTGCCAGTCGAACCGCTGGTGATGCCGACGGTTTACCGAATATGCCTCCTTTAAAAATGGGGGAATCGGTGATTACGGAGGCTTCAAATGGAGTCAAAAAGTCTTCGAGTTCACCGAGTTTTCATGAGATGCAAAGTAATGGGAACTCCACGTCCACGTCATCATCGATATGGCCCACTTCCATGTTGAATTTGACGGCTGACATTCAAGCTTCTACGGCCGCCATTGCGAGGCCTATTTTTGATGGGTTGCCGAAGCCGATTAGTGGGAGGAAGAATAAGGCGGCGATTGATTGATTGATTGATTGATTAGTGAGTTGTTTTGTTTTGGTTTTTGGATATATATATATAAATATAAATATATATTAATTTGGTTGGTTTGGACAGAGGGAATAGAAAATTAGAAATAAAAAGGAAGGAAAGAGAAAGATTGATGAATTTTTTGGGGAGAAGAAGTATAATACAAGTACAAGAGTAGATTAGAGAAAATTGTATATTAGATGTGTATGGAGATGAGAGGAGAGAAGGTTGGAATTGGATGGTGTTTATATGTTTTTATTTGATTACCTAACTTATCTCAAACATATTATTATTATTATTATTCTTTATTGAAAAACTTGTACTATTATTATATATTTATTATTACTACCTGTATTATTTATTCTGCCTTTGTTTGTGTAAAATGTAATTGATGTCTTAAGAGGTTTTGAACTAAAGATATCAGGAAGTTTGGTGTTGCTCACGTTCATGTCATTTTTCAAAGCTGCAATCTTTAGTTCAAATATTCATGCTTTGAAATAATATGAGATAAAGCACTTACCATAGAATTAAGGCATACTATAGGCCTTCGTACACGATGATATTCTTTCAAAGATGTCGTAATCCAAGAACGTAGTCCACAATGACAATGATATAATTCATTAAAATTTATATTTTATATTGAAGCATATATTTTGATCCAAAAACATTACAAAAATTAATCCCATAAGTCAAACTAAAAAATGTTCTGGTTCATTCCAGAAGTAGTCTGACCTCAAATCGATTTTTGAAGCCCTACAACAAACTCCCATTTTCTCAAAAACTTCCATCGATCTATTTCTATAGCACCAAACCAATGCAGAACCCAATCACTCGCAGTTTGAACAAGCTTTGGAACGGGGTAGGAGCAACTGTAGCAAGCCGGAGTATAATAAATCATCAATGGCGGTCGTACAGTGTAATCCCCATGGTGATAGAGCATTCATCACGAGGAGAGAGAGCCTACGACATCTTCTCTCGACTCCTTAAAGAAAGGATTATCTGTATCAACGGCCCAATTTCCGATGACACATCACACGTCGTCGTAGCTCAGCTTCTCTACCTCGAATCCGAAAACCCTTCTAAACCCATCAACATGTACCTCAACTCCCCCGGCGGAGCCGTCACGGCAGGTAGGTTTTCAATTTTACTTCTTCACCTATGCAAAAATTAGGTCTTATCACCATTTTCTCTGTAAACTAATTTAGGAAATGGCGAATTTGATGGTGTTAGGTCTTGCAATATACGATACAATGCAATACATTCGATCTCCGATCAATACAATATGTTTAGGCCAAGCTGCATCAATGGCTTCTTTGCTGTTGGCTGCTGGTGCAAAGGGTGAAAGGCGATCTCTTCCTAATGCCACCATCATGATTCATCAACCTTCCGGTGGATACAGCGGGCAGGCTAAAGACATGACCATTCACACGAAGCAGATTATTAGGGTTTGGGAGTCTTTGAATGGGCTTTATGCAAAGCATACTGGACAAAATGTTGATGTGATTCAGAAGAATATGGATAGGGATTGTTTTATGACTCCTGAAGAGGCAAAAGAGTTTGGGATTATAGATGAAGTGATGGATGAGAGGCCCTTGACTTTGGTTACTGATGCTGTTGGAAAGGAGTAAAATTGGATTGAATCGAATGCAGGAAGTGGATTTCTTTGAATGGTTCTTGAATCTTGAGTTTCACATGATTATACAATACAAAAAAAGGAAAAATGAGTATCGAGTGTAAGACAATTAGGCTGTTTAACATTAAACTTTCATTTGTTTTATGGCTTAAACGACCCAATAACTATCATCTTTGATTGTCGTCAATGTCTCTACTCTCTAGCAAATGAAATGGTCATTGTTGCTCTTTCAAGTTTCATTTCATACTCATGTTTATATCCCACATACCAAAGCATATACACTAGATTTATCTACCCAATCTTACATTAAATCTGCAAAATCCTTCAAATACCGAGAAGACATGGATGAAAAATTACATGCCAATTGTTCCACTACCAAATGATAGTAAAACACTTGGGTGTTTAATATCAAAAGAAAATATGATGGTTCGAACCATGGAACGCTATAAGCCCCACTTGATGTCCACAAGCTTTAAACAGCAAGAAGGCATCCACTTTCTTGATATGTGTTCTCCCAGTTCTAAATTAGTTACCATTAAGCTGCTCTTAGCCATATTTGGGTTATGTTTGGTGTACTAACTGAAAAGCTAGTTGTCAGCTAAAAATTAGCTACTAGCTTATAAACTAGTTGATAAAAAATAACGTTCGATACTAGCTGAAAAGTTCGTTAAACCATGAGTAAGTTCTTTTTCTTGAAAAACCTTTTATGAAAGATGAGAATAAACAATCTATTTGGGAATGTGGTTTGTATTTCATCAAACACTTTTGGGACATTTTAAAAGACGATATTGTTGCCTTTATGAGTGATTTTGGTGCCTGCGGGTTTATCTCCCTCTAGGATGCAGATCATGCAAATCCTCTTTTATAACCTAAATCCCGAATGTGAATGATCCAAAGGTGATTAAACTTATTAATCTCACAGGGGTAATATATAAGATTATTGCAAAAACTTTTACAAGTCGTCTTGTTTTAGTGATAGGTTTTATTGTAGGGGTGGAACAGTCGGCGTTTATTAAAGGGAAACAAATCTTAGACGGACCGTTAACAAATCTTAGACGGATTGTTGCTGATGAACAAATTTATTTCTTGGTGTAAAAAAATCAAAAAGAAAACCATGATTTTCAAGTGGACTTTGAAAAAGCTTGTGATATTATCTCCCAGGATTATTATTATTTTTTTTTTTGTCAAGGTGACGGAGGTTCTTGGATTCGATTCTAATTAGATTATGTGGATTAGGAGTTGTCTTTCTTTTTTCTCAATCATCTATTTTGGTTAATGTAGCTCCATGGGCGAGTTCCGGTTAGAGAGTTGCTTACGACAAGGAGATTCCCTATCTCATTTCCTTTTTCTTTTGGTTATGGAGGCATTAAATGTTGCTATAATGGATGTTGTCGATGCATGATTGTTTTCTCTTGTGCAAGTGGGATCGAACGATGTTAGAGTCTTTCATATGTTTTATACAAATGACATCATTTTTTTTAGGACATTTGGACGAAAGAGAACATGGTTAATCTAAAAACAATTCTTAATTGGTTCTTTGAAGTCTATAGATTGCAAATTAATTTTCACTAGTCTAAGCTTTACGGGCTAGGTGTAGGCAATGTTTTAAAAACCGGTTTGAACCGGCCGGTCGAACCGGTTGGACCGCGAACCAAGGGAGATAACGGTTCAACTATCATCGATTTTATATTGATTTATGAACCGGATGGAACTAGCTAGTCTTTAGAAAAATCCGATTGAACCCGTCAAAATAAACCGGTTAAATCAAATAAAAACACATGGGAAAGAACCATTTGCATAATAAACTTTGGTAAATTTTTTTAAAATCTATTTATTTTTCTTTAAATAAAAAACATATGGTAAATGTTATAAAATTTTTTGATGTGTTTATAATCATCTAAAACTATATTTTTTCGGTATTATATTTTCTTTTCTTTTTGATGTATATGGATTAATGTAAAACATTAAAACTTATGATGGTATGGTATTTTAATGTATTTGGATTAATCTACAACTTATTTTTATGTAAATTTTTAATGTTTGAACTAGTAAACCTCAAATTTAAGATTTAAATATGTATGTATGTATAGGAAAATAGGAAAAAAAAAATTATAGAAACCGGTTGACCAGGCAGTCGAACCGGGAACTGATCACCATACCGGTTTAACTAAAAATCGGTTTTTAAAACATTTGGTATAGGGATGTCAACGGGAGCAAACGGGATGGGTAGTGCATCCCCATCCCCGCCCCCAAAATTTCTCCGTTCCCCCGTCACCGTCACTGTCCCTGCCTCCATCCCGAAACGTCCTACCTTCCTACCCTGTCCCTGCCCCCAAATCCCCCTTATTACTACCTCCGTCCCCGCTCGATTGATTTTGGACTATCTTTTTTTGGACTAAAAAAAATTGTAGCAAAATTTTACATGTTAAAAATAAAAAAATTATAACATCTTAAAAACATTATACTAACACCTTAAAAACATTTGGAAACTCAAAATAATGTTATTGTTTATATATATATATATATATATATATATATATATATATATATATATATATATATATATATATAATTTGTTAACGGGGTTTCCATGAGAATTTTACATATTAAAAATTAAAAAATTATGACATCTTAAAAACATTATACTAACAATTTAAAAACATTTGAAAACTCAAAATCATATTATTGTTTATCATATTTATATAATTAATATATATAAATATATGCATAATTTATTAAGGGGATCTACATGAGGGTTTCAGAACGGGATCGTCCGCCCCCGCCTCCGCCCCCGAAATTAAAATGGGGGTTAACCTTACCTCCGTCCCTACCCCCAATTTTTTTAATAAATATCCCAAACGCAACGGGACCCATGAGAACAGGGTCCAACAGAACTTTTTTGACATTCCCAAGTAGGTGTTACGGATTTAGACTCATGGCTTGACGGCTTTTGGTTGTGATTCTGATGTGATTCCTTTCTACTTTCAAGTATCTTGGATTCCAGTTGGCTTAAACATGTCTGGAATTAAGAACCAAGGTTTGGGTTGGTGGCATATACATGCTGATTAAAGTTGTGTTGGGATCGCTGAGAATTTATTATTTTTCGTTGTTCAAGATGTCAGTGAAAGTTGGATTAATGACACTTGGTTTTGGAGTTGGCGTCGCAAGCCTACAATGGGCACAATCATGACTCGATTTACATATCTTTGTATCTTATATCAAGTTAAGCTCTCTAATTATCCAGGTAGATGGGTTATAATGTTATATCATTTACGTTGTATATATCTGTATGATCAAAGGCAACCAGAAAGATCAGTTTCACTTCATTTCTTCTCTACAGTGAAAAATAGAGCAGAATTTGAAGAGTTGAGGCTCCAAAAAGAACCATCCACATCCAAACAACCAGCTCGCCACTTGATTTCATAACACCCCAAACCAAACCTACAAACATCAACCATACAACTCCCAAATCCTTGTCCTTCCCCATTAACTCCAAAACACACAATCCTTTCCACAATCTCCCTATCTTTATCATAACCACTAACCCTATCTCCATTATTCACATACTTCGCTAGCTTTTCACTCAACTCCACCATCTTATCATCATCATCTGTTTGACTTTTATCGCCTCTACTTTGACCAGGTAGCTCACACGACATTTTACATTGAAGTATGCAATAAAGTTTAGTCAACCGAGTCCTATATTCTGGTGAAATGTCACACAACTGAAGGCATAGATCTAAATGGAGATGATACCCTGGCATCACACAGATCCTTCCACCATTCCCAGAGTCTCTATTCATGGCAAAAACCTCACAAGACACACATGGCTTTACACGAAACAAATATTTTGGAGTCATTAAGGAAATTTTCAACCAATTCTTCAAAGTATCCACTACAAACTCCAACCTATCATTCTTGTCACACCTTTTTGCTACATTTAGACAGATCCTGATAATACTTGTTACTTCATACACGTTCTCCAAACTTTTAGATTGTGGAACACATTGACCAAAAGAAGTTTCTAGAAGCAACATGAGCTCTTTACATGTCTCCCTATCTATATTCCAAATCCGTGACATAAGGTCATGTATAAGCATAGCATCAAAGTCACTCTGCAACTTCTGTGAATCATTAATAATGAAGGCTAAGACTGAACAACTTAATGCATGTGATGATATTAACATTCTACTTGTGTGATCCATGTCAATGAATGACGTGGCAAATAGATCATACTCATGTGCTAGTTTCAATAAACGTTTAGATAGCTGTTCAAGTGGTTGAAAGGAAACAGTTAGAGTACCCAAGAGCTTAAAGATATGGGCTACAGTTTCCATAACTTTTGATCTTAGAGACAAAAACTGGATATGGAAGTAGTGTTGATGACTTGGCATCACACCATTGGTAGACAGTATATTCTTTGAAGACTGAACAAGTTTACAAACCCCATCAAGGTTTTCAATGTTTGTTTCGCTTAAATCTGGTGAAGAAGAAGATCTGTTGGAGTTTAACCAATTTAACAAAAGTGAATGTTGTTTTGGGGAACTGAAATACTGGATTTTCATTTCTGAATAGGTGAATAAAGTCAACGATGTTAACCAGTGGCGAAAGGAATCAGAACTAACCATGGTTACTAATTCTCCAAAGATAAAACCAGCTGTAAACCATGCTCCCTTACATGCTGCATATTTTCCAATCCTGTAAGCAGACCACTTGTCTTTTGTTACAAGTTCCTTTGCTTTCTCAAGGGCAAGAATGTCATTTTTAATTAGGTATGACTCATCAAAACTGGAACTAGTACAAGGATGCAACAAAAGATAGTAGAGAATGTGCACATAGCAATCAAGATAACTGGATCCACATACGTCTTCAATCAGAAGTTTCACAACATTCTGAACTTGGATGCTCAAAGGTCCAGTTTTCATTAGGTTTTTTAGACACAGATTGACCACTTTTGATATACGCACCACAAGCTTTGACATGAGATGACATGGCAAAATCAAAACTCCATCATCCTTGTTCAGTATCCGGTTGATAAAAAGATGGATTTCATTTAGAGCAAATTCATCAAGATTAGGGCATTTGTTTAGAAGGAGAAAAACGGTTTTGAGTATTCCCAAAATTTCTTGATCAATTTCCATGTCAGATTGAGAGTTCGCCAGCAAGGCGATCCGAGTCATGAGAAATGAGATAGCTTGGGATGCCATGGTTTTACTACCATGTTCATCATATGACATGGCTCTTCTTGTGAACTTTCCAGATATATCTGAGAGAGCATAAATGGCAAAGAGTCTGATAGATAACAATGGAGATTGCATCATAATCTCAACAACAGTTAATAGCTTGGTGAAAGAATCTTTCATTTCAGAACAACTGAAAGTTAACATCTTGGACAAGAGGAACTGCAAATTGTGTTAAATAG